GGACATTGTGCACAGACAATAAAGATTAGTGATTTCTATGAATTCTAGGGAAACCTCACACATACTTTTCAGGTAACTATGATGTAACTCAAAAATCAACGCTATTAGGGGAAAATAATGTAACAAACATCTTATTTGCATCGCAGCACATACCTTGCCCATGCGTGGATGGCCAATTGCTTCTCTGAAATCAACGTCTTTCTGTGCGTAGGCTTCCAAGTGTGCTGCAATATGTTGAAGTTGTTTCTTCCAGTAACCTTTTCCAGGACTGGTGTCCGTCAGCTTGGTTCTCTGGTTGCCGCTACCACTGTCTCTCAGTGACCTAATCTCGTCATCCTGTTCTTGTAGTCTTTTAACTTGGTCTTGTGTTGGGTAGAACATGCCGGCCGTCTGCGTGCCTTGCGTAGAGTTCATCACACCTGGTATTCCCTGCACTGGCATGGTTACTGGCTGCCATGTTTGAGGTGTGTTAAATGACTGAAATAGGTCAACATTACTAACAGTTAATTATCAGTATCAGTTGCGATTGAGCGCTCTTAAATATTAAGTGGGTAATTTATTCTTTATCTGAGGGTCTCAAAGAAGATTTACCATTTTGTTATTTAAGTCACCCTAATTAAAGAAAATTTAAATAAATAAGAAAGAAAGCAATAACTACCATATAAATAAAAACTGTTTGTACACTGTTTATATAGAGGGCGCTATAACCTGACCCATTGTATTCTAATCCATCCTCAAGATGTGCCTCGTATTATATAACTGTAAATTAAAAATTAATTCGCAGTGGTAAAAATAAATATTTTTTGAAGTGATTGAATTAACAGTATACATTTTGATCGGTTCAATTAGAAGCTATTTTCGCAAATTTAAAAGTTTTTTCTTGTTTTTAGACAGTTTAGGAATCATGGCGAATCAAACACCATAACAAGTCAGCAGACGACAGGCAACTCGACCAAAAGCTATGCACCACTGACACCATACTCAAAAGACGTGACAACAGTCCCCATAAACAGTCAGTGAGTTTTTCAACTATTTTGATACGATTCATATATTTGCGTGCGTTTCTCACAGATTGCCTCCAATATTGTTACAAGCTTTACCACTTCAATTATCTCAGTTTGATGTTCCGAACGTTGTCATCAGCCACGCAGTGCTAATATATTAAATATTAACGATACTTACTGGTTGTGGGCGTGGCGTCTCATGTACGTGGTAACTACGGACAAAAAAAGAAAAACAATTAAAATGTACACTACTTAATGACTAACTTAATGGCCATATTTGGTCAGTAGTATTTTCATGACAAGTCTTACTATTAATACCAAATCCAGAAGACATGATGATGCAAACTTAAACTGTTCACTGTGTAACAACAGTGGGTGTAAGCGG